AAAAGGATATAAAAGTTAATTTTTTTCTTTATGCCTACCAACTGTGATCTGAATTCTTCTGTAAGCAGTAACAAGATCTTATCAACTACCACAGTAATATGTCAAAGGTGTGCTTGGAAAAATGACTTATTGCTGAAGTAGTATTTGCAACTGCAATGATATAATCATGAATGTTTAATAAAGGCAACATAATAAAACTTGCAAAAAGCTGGGCATGGTGGTGCAAGCCTTTAGGGCCCAGCCCTAGGGAGACAGAGGCAGGTAGATCTCTGAAATCAAGGTCAGCCTGGGCTACATAGCAAGGTCTAGGCCAGCTGGGGCTATATGGAGACCCTGTCTCAAAAACAAAACAAAACAAAGTTGTAAATGCAGTCTGCTGAGCCTGCTAGTCTAGGTGGAGTCTTTTTGGCATACTGGTGGTGTGATTACTGGTGGTATGATTTCTGGGGATGATCTTGCACCTGGTGGGTTAGGAATTCCTGGGTCTCTCTCAGGCTAGATTATGTCTTAAAGAATGCTCAGTAACCTGCTGGTAGGGGTTGTGCCACAGGCTCCTGGGTTTTGGTATACCCTGAGGGACCAGAAAGGGGAAGTTTGGTTCAGTTTCTTAAGACCCTTTCTCTTAAATGAGAGCTAGTCAAGGTAGATTGCATAACACAACTCTTGAAGACCTAAGAATTTTGTGTTAATAGGATCTGCTGAGCCAAAGGGGTGTCAATGTGAGGTGCCTCCATAACTGACGGTGATAGAAACTAGTTTACAAGCCAAAGTTCTAATTTTAGGGTGGCAGAAATATAGATATTTCAGAAAATTAAACTAGAAACTACTAGAAACCATTTCTATTTGACTGTTTTCTTGAGGCTAGCATCAAATTCACTATGCAGCCAAGAATGGTCTTTGAACTCCTGCTTTTATACCTTGAGTGCAGGGTTTACAGGTATGTAACCCCTGGGCTTGCAGTTTACTAATCTGAATAACTTATGACAACATACAATAATAATATACACCAAGGAACAAAAAGGAATTAATGTTCATGATTTGGCTTTCTGATAATCGTAATCTGCAGTGCACCCCTCCCCCACCCGGCTGAACCAGCTGAACACAGTTGGACCCAGAAGCCACTGGCAGCCAACTCCACTTGTTCCTGCTTCCTTCCCACAGATGCTGCCACAGCATCTTCTCACAGAGTGGCTTTCTTCATCCTGTGCAGTTTGGCAAGCCCAGCACCATGGTGGTAGGGCACCCCGAATTCCTCAAGGCAGGGAAGAGCCTGGCCTGCAGATCTGGTGTGTGGAGAAGTTTGACCGGTCCCCATGCCCCACCAATCTCTATGAAGTCTTCACCAGGACACCTATACCATCCTGAAGACCATTCTGCTGAGGATGGAATCTGCAATTCCACCTCCTCTACTGACTGGGCAAAGTGCAGCCACGATGAGGGTGGGTTGGCTGCCATCTTTACCGTGCAGCTGGCCGCGCAGCGCTGTGAAGTCCAGGGCTTCGAATTGGCCAGCTTCCTCCGCTACTTCAAGTTTGGCCCAAAGTACAAGAAAGGAGGCGTGGCATCAGGGTTCAAGCTTGTGGTACCTGATGAGGGGGTGGTGCAGGGCTCTTCCAGGTCAAAGGGCGCCGTGTAGTCCGTGCCACTGAGGTGCCTGTGCCCTGGGACAGCTTCAACTGCCTTCATTCTGGATCTGGGCAATAACCTCCATCAGTGGTGAGGCTCCAAAAGCAATAGATTTGGAAGGCTAAAGGCCACACAGGTATCCAAGGGCAATGGCAACAAGGAGCGGTGCGGCCTGCTTAAGTCCACGGGTCTGAAGAGGTGATGCTCCAGGTTCCAAGCCAGCTCTGCCCGCAGATACCAAGGACACAGTCAGAGAACGTGGCCAACAGAAAGCTGGCCAAGCTCTCTAAGGTTTCCAGTGGCCCAGACAGCATGTTGGTCTCTCTTGTGGCTGATGAGAACCCCTTCACTCAGGGAACTGATCTGAGGACTGCTTTAGTCCAGACCATGGCAGGGACGGGGAAATCTTTGTCTGGAAAGGCAAGCAGGCCAATATGGAGGGGCAGAAGGCTGTCCTCAAAATGGCCGATGGACTACCCCAAGCAGACCCAGGCTTCAGTCCTGTCTGAGGCTGGCAGGACGCCACTGTTCAAGCAGTTCTTTAAAAACTGTTTTGCTACCACTCCAGCCACATTCCAACATGGAGAGCATGCCCTTCGATGTCGTCACACTGTACACTTCCAATGCCATGGCTGCCTAGCATGGCACGGATGATGATGTCAACAGCCAGAAACGTATCTGGGTAACTGAAAGCTCCGACAAGGTGCGAGTGGACCCTGCCACACAGACAGTTCTATGGAGGCAACAGCTACATTGTTCTGTGTGACTACCACCACAGTGGCTGCCAGGGATAGATCATCTGCAACGGGCAGGGTTCAGTATGCCCAGGATGACTGCTGCATCCGCCATCCTGACCACCCAGCTGGATGAGGCGCTAGGAGGAACTCCTGTGCAGAGCAGTGGGGCCAACACAAGGATACTGAGCACATCATGAGCCTGTTTGGTGGGAAGCCCATGATCATCAAGGTGGTTCCTCCTGCCATGGTGAGCCCCTGCCAGTATCCACCTCTTCCAGGTCCTGGCCAGAAGCTCTGGAGCCACCAGGGCAGTTGAGGTGATGCCTAAGACTGGTGCGCTGAACTCCAACAATGCCTTTGTGCTGAAAACCCTCCTCAGCTGCCTACCTGGGGGTGGGCACAGGAGCCAGCTAGGCAGAGAAGACTGCTGCCCAGGAACTGCTGAGGGTGCTGCTGGTCTAGCCTGTGCAGGTGGCAGAAAGCAGTGAGCCAGCTGACTTCTGGGAGGCCATGGCGGAAAGGCTGCCTACCCCACATCTCCAAGGCTAAAGGACAAGAAGACAGACCACTCTTCACCTCTTTCCAACAGGATTGGACCCTTTGTGATCGAAGAGGTTCCTGGTGGGCTTATGCAGAAAGACCCGGATACTGATGATGTCATGCTCCTAGATGCCGGAGACCAGGACTTTGTCTAGGTTGGAAAGAATTCTCATGAAGCACACAAAACTAGCCCCACAAAAATTCAGGGTTTTTGCAAAATTATCAAGGATCTGGAGCTTTGGAAACTGAGTTCAACAAAAGCTTTCTGAAGTGTAAAAACGGGAGGGCAGAACTGGACTGCAAATGCTGGCCTTGAGACAAGCACTTAAGAGTTGCGAGTTCTGGTCTGATGAGATGGCTCAGCTGGTAAAGGTGCATGCCGCCAAACCTGACAAAGAGTTCACTACCCAGTAACACGGTAGATGGAGAGAACCGACACCCACAAGTTGTCCTCTGACCACTTGTGCCATGGCACATGTGACACCCCCTTCCTCATATAATCAGAAAAACGAAAAGAATCACTTGTTCAACAGTTAGCATCCTCTGCCTCCCCATACCCAAGCAAAAAGATTCTGATCTTGAGGAGGAAGTAGGCAGTTTTCAAAACGCTGTATTAGAGGGATGTGGGAAAGGAACAAGACAGGGAGCAAAGTATTTCGGGGTAAGATCCATTTTAAGTCAGGGTGCTTAAAGACATTGCTTAGCTGGTCCTTGTGTAAGAAGCTGCTTGTACAGCCCAGAGTCCTAATTCATTCTGGAGGGTGGCTAGCTTTTGGCCTTCCATTTTCTCTTCTAGCCAGAGACATACAATTCGGCAAGTACGTAGCAGTCATCTATCAGGAATGTTCTGCAACTCCTGAACCACGTATCCTGGCTTTCCTATGTGCACTAGTACATGTGTGCAGAAGAGCAAAGGTAGGAGGAAGAGGTGAAGAGACATCCTAGACTCGGGCCCAGCACTGCTGAGGAGAGACACGCCGGTCCATTTCTTTCTTGCTTTTCAAGATACTCACATGGCCCGGCATGGTAATGCACACCTTTAATCCCAGCACTCAGGAGGCAGAGGCAGGTAGATCTCTGTGAGCTCAGGCCAGCCTGGTGAGTTCCAAGCCAACCAGGGCTACATAGTGAGACCCTGTCTCAAAAAAGCCAACCAAACCAAACCAAACCCTTTGCCAGGTGTGGTGCCACAATACTTTAATTCCAGCACTTGACAAGCAGAGGCAGGCGGATCTCTGTGAGATTGGGGTCAGCCTGTTTTACAAGTATCAGGACAGTGGAAGATATAGGGTGTCCCTATTACAAAAAGAACCACCCCCACCCCCCACAAAAAGAACCCACCTCACATACTCTGACATCTGTTTATCAAGGACTACCTCCTAGCTAAGATTTTCCTGGCAATGCTAACTATTCTCCAAGCTATGAACCAGTGACCTGGTGTGTGTGAGGAGGATGACTATCATACAAAGATCCCTAACAAGCCTGCTCTTCTATAGTCCTATACTGAATCTTGATCAGCCCTGGGGAAAGCAAGTTCAGAGGCCAACCCTTACCCTCAGCTAGGCTCTGTCCAGGAAACTGGGTTGCGCTCTGCATCTTTCCCAAAGTGGCTGCAGTCTGGTCTTGATGCAATACCAAGTAACTAATGAAGTGTTCTGTGAGACCTCAAGTTACTTCTCAAAGGCACGACAACGCTGAAGAAAAGCCCCCTCCTGAGGCTGGACAGGTGACTCAGCTAAAAGCACTGGCTGCTCTTACAGAGGACCCCGGTTCAGTTTTCTTTCCTCACATAACAGCTAACAACCATTTGTGACTCCAGTTCCAGGGAATTCAATGCCCTCTCCTGGCCTCTGTGGGAGCATGTGGTACACATACACACATGTGGGCAAAAGACTCATACACTTAAAACAAAAACATGACAAGCCCTCCTCTCCTTAGGCTCCCATCATCCTATCCCACACTGCCCAACAGAGCGAGGAATCTGAGCCTCAGCCAGCTCTTGCTACTACTCAGCATACTGAGGCTGGCCTGTTTACTGACTTGGCCAGTTTTTCAAAGTTCCAGTGGCAATTTCCAAAGAGTCTGTGTTTCTCATAAAGAAGAGGCCCACATATTCCAAAACAGCCGAAACCAGCTCACCCATTTATTTGACTGAGAACATTAAGAAGGTCAACAAAATTAAACAATCTTTAATAAAATTCCTATAGAAAACTCAAGTCACAGGGCAAGTACTCAGTTGTCTGTCCCATGTCACTGAGGATAGGGCTCCTAAATTTTCTTTGGAGAATAAGCAGTAGTTTCGCTGGATCTTGCCAGTACTCGGTATATGTGCTGCGAAAGCATGCACTTTGCCAGTCCTCAGAAAAGCATTCATTTACACATTCAAACCAGTAGCTCCTATTGCACATATAAACATCCGTCACCTAGCACCCTGACTGTATGGTACCTCAACAAATAAATTAAAGATTTCCATGTGGCATGAAACCATTTCAATTTGAACTAATACCATTGAAAAATCACATTATTATAAGTTTTAATAAATACAGTAAGAACAGCTGGCATATTACTAAAATACTGAAATTTAAGTTTGGAATTTATTCCATAAATAGATTTCTTTTCATTTGCTTGCTTTCTTGGATACATTTGCTCAAGTATTATGTTCTATGAAATAAACACCTTCATAGCTACATATAGAAACTGTATTCATGTGCCTCAATACAGAAGCAGATGGAAGAACTGGATCACACAGTTAACTGAAAATTAAACACAGGCTGGAGAACACCAAAGAAACATCTTTTTATATAGAACTCCCACTACAAATCTTATAAATATATATGCAGCATATCTATATCTATATATATAATATATGTGTGTATATATATTATATATATATATATATATACTATGTTTGCCTCACCAATAGATTTTCAGCAAGTCTGGCTGGAATGACGCTCTTGTTAGATAAATATTAACAAAAGTAGTGAGTTTTCACAGGCTTAAAAGATTTCTTTTGAAAAATAATAAGATCAAAATAATAAATGTAATTTATAGTTTACACAATTTAAAAAGGGAAGGAAGATACCTTTCTCTGAAGCCTCATTTGGAAAGTAAGATCAGCTCCCAGCCCCCAAATTTAGGTAAGTTGTTGGCTGAGTGGCAACACTTGGTCAAAACACTGAAAAGAAGTATTTACACCTTTCTGGTAAAGTACCAAATACTAAAGGAAAAAAGATACCAAACAATCCCTAGTAGCATTCCTTGGAGTGCAAAGTCAGCAAGAAAGGATTCTCCATGCTGTGGACAGTGTTCATAGTGAGTCCTGGAAGCATTCAAAAAGCAGAGGGTGGGCATCAGGGTGGTTCAGAGTCGGCTCTGTGGGATGCTTTGTTCTTAATTTAACTGAGTCTCAGGATTTCATTCCCTTTACATTTCTGGCAGGGTCATGTTCAATTTAGTGCAAGTGCAAAATGAAAAGGAAACAGGCTAACACGTATGTTAGGAGCCAAGGCTGATCGTTAGGATCTGTAGTCTTTCCGAACTGTGTGAGCCATCCAGTTCACTTTAGTAGTCCAGCTTTCCCTGAGTGCCTCATCAAATTTTTGCTTAAATTGTTTGAGCGCTTCTTCTTCACTCTTTCCTAAGGCAAGAGAGTCCTAAAAAAGAGGAAAAAAATCTTAACTTCACGCACGCATGGTAGAGATAAGCAAACATCATAATCTACAAGAGGCTGGTGTGGCCAGGCTCCCCATCCATGAGACATGGTGCCACATCTTAATGTCACTTGCAGGACACAGAACGAACATGAAGGCAGCATGACAATATGGCCCTATCAGAGGGTTTTTGAGGCTGAAATTAATTTACAACTATTGCAAGACACTCAGCAGCTTTTTTTTTTTTTTTTGGTCTTTTCTTTGAGACAGGGTCTCCCTACTATAGCCCAGCTGTCCTGGAACTCACTAGGTAGACCGGGCTGGCCTCATAAAGGTCCACCTGCCTCTGACTCCCAAGTGCTGGGATTAAGGGCATGTGTCACCACCTGGCCTCAGTTGCTTTTCTAATAAGATGATCTGAGGTCCACTAACACTCCAAGTTAAAGGGCAGGCTGGTGAAAATCAAGGTGACAACCAGCTGCTAACCCAGTGTGTGGAAGGTCAACAGCCCAGTACCAGTCTTCTTCATGCCCCTTCGACTGTGGGGAAAAAAAAACCACCTGAGTTACAAACTCCTTTTAAAACTGCTCCTTTATGTGAACTTTACATATTTGTTTTCCTTTTGGCTAAAAGTCATCTCAGAAGAAATGACTTTGCTTCACTCCATTTGGATGTTTTATTTTTTAAATTTTATTTTATTGTTTTCTGGTCTTTTTGAGACAGGGTCTCCCTGTAGCCCCAGCTGTCCTGGAACTCACTATGTAGACCAGCTTGGCCTTGAACTCACAGAAATCTGCCTGCCTCTGCCTCCCAAGTGCTGGGATTAAAGGCATGCACCACCACACCCGGATATTTTTTATTTTATGTGTATGCATGTATTGCCTGCATGTAGGTAAGTGCAGAAGAGGCTGTCGGATCCCCTGGAACTGGAGTTACAGACAGTGGTTAGCTGCCATGTGGGTGCTGGGATTCAAACCCGGGTCTTCTGCAAGAACAACCAGTGTTCTTAACCCCTGAGCCATCTCTCTAGCCCCTAGATGTTTCATTTTTAAAAATTTAAAAAGACAGTTGACGACTGACTTCTCTGAGGCCTTCTTCATAAAATTTTTAAAATATTGTGTATGTGTGTATGTTCACATGTATGTGGAGGTCAGAGGACAACTTCTAGGAACTGGTTTTCTCCCTCTGCTGTGCGTATTCTGGGGACTGAATTCAGGTCATGAGACCTGGCGGCAGGTGTCCTTACCAGCAAGAGTCATCTTGCCAAACTCTTTAGGGCATTTTGAATGGAGCTCTAAATGAGTGAGTTCTGTGCCCACTAAGACCAACACACAAAGAAAAGAGGTTTATACCTTAAGATACTGTATATCTTTGACTGATGTGAGCTCGGGAAGCCCTGCAGTCAACATCAGTGCAAACAGGGTAATGAAGAGATTCCCATGCCTTCGTAAAATCAGATATGCATCTTCACAGCACTGGCGAAATCTTTAGTTGCCGCAGCAAGCCACATGAGGGTAGTGTCAGTGGGAGGTGGGATAGTTCACAAAAGAAAACAAGACATCTTTAGACTTTCTTTTACAACTACAGCCTTTTACAACCCTTACTGAACTAAGGGTTCATTTTGCACATACGCTTCTTTGAAGCTAGTCCCAAGACTAAAATTTATATAAACTAATCAGGCTCTCTAAAATCACATGTATCTTTTTTTTTCGGTCTTTTTGAGACAGGGTCTCCCTGTAGCCCCAGCTGTTCTGGAACTCAGGCTGGACTTGAACTCACAGAGATCCACCTGCCTCTGCCTCCTAAGTGCTGATGTATCTTTTTTTAAAAACAAAATTAAGTTAAAATTTATGGTAACAGGTAATGCAATGATCTAGGCTTTTTACTTTCCATAAGACATGAGAACATTAAGAAGTGAGTGAGAGTCCCTGGCCATGTCTGAGCATCCTTCAGGGCTCTATCTTCAGTTTCACAACACCAAGCTGATTCTTTTGCACTGTTCCTCCATGCCATTTTGCTTTCCCTCTTTCTTTCTCCTTTTACAGATGATAACGTCACAAAGTTCCATCCAATTTGATCCTTTATGCCTAAGAGAAAACTAGCCACACAGAACTACAAATGCCAGTATCATTTTTAAGCACATATTTTGTCCATGTGATACGTATCTCTATTTATCATCTAATTACTTTTGTCCAGATTTTTTTTTTTTTTTTGCCTTTTTTGAGACAGGGTCTCCTTGTAGCCCCAGCTGTCCTGGACACTATGTAGACTAGGCTCACAAAGATCTGCCTGCCTCTGCCTCCCAAGGGCTGAGATTAAAAGCGTGTGCCACCACGCCCGGCCCAGATTAAAATTTTTTAAAAACATTTATTTATTTTGTATGTGTCTGTGGGGAGGGATGGAGAGGACAACCTGAGGGGGTCAGTTTCTCTCTTTACGCCACATGGGTTCCAGGATCAAACTTAGATACTAAGGCTTGGCAGCAAGTGCCTTTACCAGATGAACCATCTCTTCAGCCCGTTTTGCCCATATTTTGAGATAAAGAAACAAAACGAAGAAGACAAGTACAATACTTGGGGATATACAGGTGACAATGTGCTTTGGGGGCCGGGCTCCCACACTGTCCCCCACACACAAGGACAGTAAAACGCCTGTTCTCCCAGCATCTTACTCCCAGGTGTCTTAGTAGTTTAGGGGATTTTCTGAAACAGGAAGGTGCAATGAAATTGGCAACTTATCTAGAATTTACAGCCTTCTCCCTTTTCTTCCTCCTGAGCATTTCTGAACTGGCACAAGATCTGACAGGTAAATCCCCCCTAGAACCTTCTGTTATCAGAACAAACATTTCCCAGATCCAAATATTCCTTAATTAGTATGATGATTACTGTTAACTCTCAACTTGGTATCACCTAAAATCACCCAGGAGATCAGCATGTCTGTGGGGGGATTATGCTGATTATGTTACTTGAGATGGGCCAAGACTGTGGGTGCTGTCACTCCCTGGCATCAATTCTGCACTATGTAAGCAGAGAAAGGCAGCTGAGCAGCTGTGCAGTTCTCAGCTTCCTGGCTGTGGACACAATGTGACCTGCTCCCTCAAGCTCTTGCTACCATGACTTCTACACCATGATGGACTGTACAATTAAACCCTGAGCCCAGATGAACCCTTTCCCCAAAGTTGTTTTTGTCAGGGTATTTTATCACAGCAACTAGAAAAGAACCTAATACAGTTAGGGAACGCTAGCCAGTCAGTAAGATGAGAAAGTGTCGGACATGCTTTTCCCTGACATGAGGGCAATACTTACCTGCCAAACTTTTCTGTGTTTCCTGTTTTTCCTTGTTGAATGACATGAATGAAGTCATAAGTAAGAATAAAAGGTACTCGCTCCCTTTTAATGCCAAATTTAGATTTGAAATTTCCAAGAATATGTCCAAAGTCTATGTGGAAGAGCTGTAAAACAAATGGAATTTAATTATCCTAATGAGTTTCAAATATTTCTATTTATTATAACCTCTATGGTGTTATACCCCACGTAATCACCCCCAGCCAAGCCATTTACCTATTCACAGCCCACTCAGAATTCTATCCTGTGTACTACTGTAGGGTGTTGAACACCTCTGACCCTCTACTCACTAGATGTAAATAGCATTTTACTTTACCTCTAGTTGGAACAGTTCAAACTATCTCTGCAAATAACAAACATTTCAGGGAAATATTAGCCAAGTTAAGAATTTCTGGTTTAGACATGCTTTGATGGAGCCGTTCAAGAAAAGATGCAAACAAAGTCAAGCAGGTGGCTCATGCCTGTAAATGCCATTACTCAAAAAACTACAGCAGGAACACTGAGAGAGGTTGGGGACCTCTTGGGCAATGACAGCCCTTTTCAAAGAAAAAAAGAAGCCAGGAATGGTGGTGCACATGTTTAATTTCAGCTCTCAAGAGGCAGAGGCACACACATAAACAACAATAACAACAAATAAAGCCTGATAACCTGAGCTCTATCCCTGGGATACATACACAGAAATAAATAAATAAATGTAATTTTTTAAAAAAGAAAACATTTATTCTACCTTGTTTGATTTTAGAATTCAAGGTTAGAGTCATTTATTCCCCTAAATTATATAGGCTAACCTTTGTTTTAAAGTTTCCAATGTAGCTACTGAAATAATCATTCTGATATCTATAGCCTACCATGTCTCTGAAAAGTTTAAAACTTCTTTGTTGCCTAATGAACTGAAATGGTAAAGGGCCTTGGTAAGGGTCTTTTCATTTATTACATGGGAACTTTTATGCTGTTGTGACTGAACTGATCTGCAGCTCTGGGACATGCATTTATATTATTTGTCAAGAGACTGCCTTCCCTTTCTCCTCTCTATTTCTTCTTTCTGGACTCCTATCAGGCTGATCATGTACCTCCCTAGACTGAGTAATGTAATATACATACATAGTCTTTTTTTGAGACAGGGTCTCTCTGTAGCCCCAGCTGGACTGGAACTATGTAGACCGGGTTGTCCTTGAACTCTCAAGAGATTCCCCTGCCTCTGCCTCCAGAGTGCTGAGACTAAAGGCGTTTGCTATCACGCTTGGCTTCTATATCTTTTTAATATTTGACAGATAGATAAGCTACGTTAAGCTAAACTAAGCTAAGCTAAGTACAGTTAAGTCAAGATTTAAATATGGTAGACCATCTCTCTGTTGAAATTACTATTTGCTATAAGGTTGTCATGAGAATCAAAGGTATTGCTACCTATGATACACTTAACAAGTATACCCTGCCACAAGATGCTCACAAATATCCACTGTTCCTATTTGTAAGACTCCTATTTTCCAATTTAAAAAGCAGAATCTGGGCTGGCAAGAAAGCTCAGTAAGCAAAGGTGCTTGCTGCCAAGCCTGGCAACTTAAAGTTGAGATCCCCAGAGTGGAAGGAAAAAAATGACTCCCACAAGGTCCCTCTGGCCTCATACATACTCCCCGCAAAATAAATAAATGAAACTTGAAAAATAAATAAATAAATAAAAACTGCTGAGAGAACAGATTTTAAGCATTCTCATCACAAGAAGAAAAATGTTTAAGGCACCACATATTAGTTAGTTCAAATAAGCCATTCTATAATATATACATGTTTCAAAACAACATGATGTACATGATAAATACATATAATGTCTGTTAATTTAAAAGATCTCTGGTAGCCGGGTGTGGTGGTACATGCCATAAATCCCACCACTCAGGAGTGACAGTATGGTGCCCAGCCTTAATTAGTACATCAGTGACACCACTGCTACACCTATGTCTCAAGGAGCATCGTAGAAGACAGGGTAGAAGGAGCCAGAGGACCAGGATGTCTGCTTCAAAGGAGTGTCTTCTAGACATGACAGAGATGCTACACTAGAAAATGCAAGAATATAGTTGCTGAATAAGACCTGCACAATGACCATACCAGGCAACATCCCAATGTGGATAAAGCGCCACACCCAGATGAAGCGCAAACTACAGACAGTCAACAGTTGCTGAGGGAGAGAGAATTAAGTTTTTTCTCCGGGGATGAGCCCCCTAAATTATCCAATCCCAAGTGGTCAGTCCTAAACACAACTACATATAAGCAACACTAAATGGTCTAGTAAGTATGTGTGTATATATGTAACAATATATAAAAAGACATGTATGTAACAGTAATTATAGAAGAGGTCATGAATTTGAGGGGAAGTAGGTAGAGGACACAAGAGGAGTTGGAAGGGAAAAAGGGTGGCAATTATATAAATACGGTATCTTCATATATGAAATCCTAAAAAAAGGCGAAGGCATATGACCCCAGTCTCATACTCTGAGTAGGATTGGGGTTAGGTGGTAGAAGGAAAAAAGGAGGTGCTGGGTGGGATGTTCTCAGTTACGAGTAGGTTCTGAAAGTCTATTGGTTTAACATCCAAAATATGCAAGCAACTCCGATGACAAAAAATGTGAGAATCAGTAGTCCATTAACAGATATTTTCCATGAAGAACATGACCTCATGTATATTATGCTGATTAGTTATTGAAATTGTATTGTTTAACTGAAATTTACTGGAAAAGTAATCTTGCATTCCTCACTGCAGAAATACACAGAAAATGGTAAATATGTGTAGTGACTATAGTGACCATTTCATATCATATGTGAATATCAAATCATCACATCTGCCTAGATTCTATCAACAAAAGTGAGAAAAGCATCAGTTTAAAAAATTACAGGTGAGGCTGGAGAGATGGCTCAACAGTTAAGAGCGCTAGCAGCTCTTCCAGAGGACCTGGGTTCAATTCCCAGCACTCACATGGCAGCTAACAACTGTCTGTAACTCTAGTTCCAGGGGAACCAGAACCCCTCTTCTGACCTCTGTGGGCACAGCATGACACAGATGCACTTACACACACGCAGGCAATACACTCAGACACATAAAATAAAAATAATAAATGATCTTAGTACAACTTCCACTTTTATTTGGTAGGTTTCCCTTAGCCTCTATCAAGCCTAGTGTCTATGAGTCAGAGGAAGAAACAGTCTTCTAGGTCCTTCTTGAGATATCAATAAAGGGATATGAGCAAATAACTATTCCATATACAAACTGCCAACCATCATTTTTAATCTCTTTCTGTATCTCCACCTTGAACTATGTCCGGTACTCCTAGTTCCTCAGCCTTTCTGAAAGACTGACAGAGCTCTCCACAAAGACTCGGGCTTGCATTTTCTCAGCTCTGCTAGGCCATTGCCACTTCTCCATCTTACCTGCTATCCGCCCTAAATCTGCTGATATTCCCCCTCACTGTGAATTCTCTCCTATCTTTGACTTCTTGGGTTTACATGATTCTTATTGCTGTAGAGGGGATGGGGGTAGGGGGAGTACATACGTCAAAGATTTCAATTTGTAACTAGAAGTCAGAGGGAGTCTTTCTAAGTATGACTACATGGTATAACTCTCAAAACCCAAGCAGAACTACTCACATTTCCAGGGAGGTATAACTTCTGTTTTCCACCTACAGCTACAAATGTATTTCATCCAAGGTATTTCATCTGCCTTACACAATATTAAAAACTTTACAAATAACCTAGTTATTTATAAACAATTCAAAAAGATTAAGCTTTCATTTGAAACTAAGTGCTGCTTCGTAAGTCACCTCTTCTAACCTCCACAGCTAATTCAGAGAGATAATATAGTACCGTTCTCCCTATTCTATATAATCAACTTTGATGTTCTAAAAGAGAAAATGACTCAAAGATGGTTCATCATATTTTTCTAGCATTGGTTATTCTTTTCTTCAGTCAGGGTCTCCCTGTAGCCCCAGCTGGCCTGGAACTCACCATGCAGAACCAGACTGGCCTTGAACTCACAGAGATCCTCCTGCCTCTGTTTCCCAAGTGCTGGGATTATAGGTGTGTATCATGACACCAGGCTAAATACAATTAAAAAAAAATTATTTATTTTTAATTTTATGTGTATATTACCTGCATATATTTAAGTGCACTCGTGTCATGCAATGCCCACAGAGGTCAGAAGAGGGGGTTGGATTCCCCTGGAACTGGAGTTATAGATAGTTGTTAGCTGCCATGTGTGTGCTGGGAATCGAAACCCTGGGTCCTCTGCAAGAGCAGCCAGTGCTCTTAACTGCTGAACCATCTCTCCAGCCCCAAATACAATTCTTATAGTAAAAGAATAGGCTACTTTTAAATAGTATTTTTTTAAATTATTTTTATTTTATGTGTATGAGTGTATTGTCCACATGTATGTAAGTGCACCCATGTCATGCAATGCTCATGGAGGTCAGAAGAGGGTGGCAAATCCCCTGGAAATGCAGTTAAAGACAGTTGTTAGCTGCTATGTGGGTGCAGGGAACCAAACCCAGATCCTCTGCAAGAGCTCTTAACGGCTGAACCATCTCTCTAGTCCCTAAATAGTAGTACTTTTTAAACATTTAAGTAGATGTTCACCGTTAAATTTTAAACAGATCAATACATAAATGGTTCATGAAATGAGAATTGGAAGAAAATGGAAGGAAAAGACAAAAACACGATTTAGCATCACTGTACCTCTCTGACCCTGCTTACCTGGCCAGTTTTCTTCACCATGATGTTATCACTGTGTCTGTCACCAATTCCAAGGACATAAGAAGCTACACAGTAGCCAGCACAGGACAGGGTAAACTCCTCAATTGCTCTGTCTAGATCATCCCTAAACAAGATACATACAGAAGTAATAAAGTTAGTAAGCAATGAATTGTGCCAGGTAAGATCCAGACCACACCTGTTTCCTTTTTTAAAATTTTTGTTTTTTGAGCCGGGCGCAAGCCTTTAATCCCAGCACTTGGGAGGCAGAGGCAGGCAGATCTCTGTGAGTTCAAGGCCAGCCTGGTTTACACAGTGAGTTCCAGGACAGCTGGGGCTACAGGAAGACCCTGTCGCAAAAAGACAAAAAAAAAAAATTATTTTGTTTTTTGGACAGGGTCTCCCTGCAGCCCCAGCTATCCGGAACTCACTATGTTGTCCAGGCTGGCCTCAATCTCACAGAGATCCTCCTGCCTTTACATCTCTAGTGCTGGGAATTAAAGGTGTACACCATGCTCTGTACCTGTTCACTTTTAAATTATGAAAATAAATCACACAATCAAGTTGTCAAAGCTGTATAAGCAAATATCATGCTGGATAGGGAAGACACAGGAGGTGGGAAATGGGGGGAGTGTTGGGCTGGCTTACCTAACCGGGCCTCATTCATTTAAGGTCCTGTGTCCTTGGAGTCATATTTCAGTGAGATTTAAGGTAAGCTTACATGTAGGGTATGGTAAGAAGCCACCATGGTCTTTGCTGAATACGCTTGGAATGGGCAACATTTTACCAGGCTTTATCTTGGTTTTCTGAGACAGGCCTTACTCTACAGTGCAGGCAGACCTTGAACTCATGGCAATTCTCTCCTTTAGCCTCCTGAATGCTGAAGTTACCAGCGTGAGCCACCATACACACAGTGTAGGTAGACCTTGAACTCATGGCAATTCTCTCCTTCAGCCTCCTGAGTACTGAAGTTACCAGTGTGAGCCACTATACATACATACCTGGCTGTTTCTGTCAATTTGATCTCAGATTAGAATTCCAGGTTAGGAGGACACCTTTATCCTCAACAGCACTGCACCAGATGACACTATAACTAAGGTACTGAAGGCCCTTACAGCCCTTTCCAAATAAATAAATAAATAAATAAATAAATAAATAAAAATAAATAAATAAATAAATAAATAAATAAAATAAAATACTATATAATAAAAGGGGGGGAATTATGAGAACTATAAATGAAATGAAATTCTTTTCTTTCAAAGTTTTACCTTTACAATGCAAATTAAGAGGCATCAAGATTAAGGCAACCTGCCTTTACCAGGACTTAGAAGCTAATTTTTATATAACGTTGGAGTGTTATAATGCTAGTATCTACCGTAGTGTTATGAACATGTCCACTGTAACATGTATTATAGTGTGCATTATAGTCTTTCATCCACCCTACCCCCTTTGATGACTCTGGCTACATGCTGAAACCCCATGTATCTCAATTCTAAAGATTCTCATTAGAATGCTCCTTTCCCCTTTAAATTTTCCAGTGGGATTAGGTTATGTGGCTAAACCTGGAACAATGAGAGACAGCCAAGTGCTCAGCTGCCTTGGGTATAAAAGGGAGAGGCCATCTTAAGAAGGAGTGCTTGCTGAATTCAGAGTGAATTCAGAGTGACACCCTTCTGCCCAAGGAAAACATTTTGCTTTGCCAAAATGCTTTGGATTATGTGGTCATTTTCTTGGGACCCCAGACCCATTTCTAACAATCTGAATTCTAACCATTTAAGTAACTGACTTCAACTAGAAGTGAGTAAGATAGACTCCAAAGAGTCAAGGCCTTAAAAAATTTGGAAATAATTCTCACATGCAAGTCTTTGGACAATGTGAATGATGAAATTTAGGTCTGACTTTGAAGTATTTAGCCAAAAATATTTGCAAGGCACTTTCCTTCACTATGAAATTCCTTTATTCCCTATATATTAATGTTGCCCACAACCTAACCATAAATAAGTTATTATTGTTATTGAAGTAGAGTCTCATTTATCCCTCATGTTCTGGAACTACCATAGCACAGGATGACCTTAAGACTTTTGACCTTTCTGCCTCCACCCTTGGAATGCTTAGATTATAGGCATGTACTATCATGCACAGGTTATGTAGTGCTGATGAAACCTGGGACTTTGTGAATATTAGGCAAGCACTCTACCAACTGATCTACATCGCTAGCCCAACAGTTTGGAAAGATCAGACTATACAAACTTATTTACCTCAAACATAAAATGGTAACCTCTTAGAACCTTAAGTTCATATACTCATAAGTTAGGAAGCTGATGCATATAAACAGAAACTTCAATATGCTATTTTTTTATATAACTTAAAAAAATATTATTTTTATTTTATGTGTATGCGTGTATTGCCTGCATGTAGGTAAGTGCAACTGTGTAGTGCAATGCCCTCGGAAGACAGAAGAGGCTGTCAGATCTCTTGGGACTGGAGTTATGGACAGTTGATAGCTGCCATGAGTGCTGGGATTTGAACCTGGGTCTTCTGCAAGAACAACCAATGCTCTTAACCACTGAGCCATCTTTCCAGCCCCTCAATATACTATCTTAAAAATGCTTAACTTCTAGCATATTGAAGGGTTTCTAAATTTTGACATATAGTGCAAGTCAATGCTAGCAATTTTAAGATGTTAAGAATTTCTGTTCTGCAATGAGGCAATAAATACAAGTATTTCCTTTAAGGCAGTGACTATTTCTAGTTGGTGAACAGCTATTTGTTTAGGTACTTATACAGAAAACGATAAAGAGAACCCACTAACCCAGAGTTGTATTCTTTAAGCCAGTTCAGAAGGGCATCTTTGTTGAAGGCTGCTGCGGCAGCTACATTGCTACTGTTCAGCTGAATGTCAGCAATTGTCTCTGAGGTGCTCACAACTTCAATGAGGCCAGAGCGATCTCCTGTTGCTAAACAGCCATAGGGCAGCATCCTGAAAGGAAAAAAAAAAGGTATAAGGAACCATATTTTTCCCTGAGAGAAAAAAATAATTTGCTAAGTTTTTCTTTTGCTTTAAAAAAAAAGTGTTATGGGCTAGAGAGGTGGCTCAGTGGTAAAAAGCACTGACTGATCTTGTAGAGGGCCTGAGTTTGATTCCCAGCACCCACATGGCGGTTAACCACCATCCATAACTCTAGTTCCAGGAGATTCGATGCCCTCTTCTGTCCTTCACAGGCACTGTACAACATGGATGTATTTACATACATGCAGGCATAGGACTCATACACATAAAATAAAAATAACTATCCCTCAAGTCCCAGCTGACCTGAACTATGTAGACCAGGCTGGCCTTGAACTCACAATGATCCACCTGCCTCTGCCTCCCGAGCACTGGGATTAAAGGCGTGTACCACCACGCATGGCTAAAAATAACTATTTTTTTAAAGTTGTATTACTGACAGAAGTTACTCAGTAGTGCCATATAGAAAATATAGGTTATACCCTCTGTTAGAGAATAAAACTCTTGGCCAACATGGAATGAGTTACCAGAGTATTTCAGCTAAATCTATCATTTGTTATATTATTATTCTCATGGAATATTCCTATTTGCCTGTATTGATGGACAGAAGCATATCAGATAAAGAAAAAAATCCTTTAACTCATGAGAAAGAGGATCATTCTTTTTTTTTCAGTCTTTTGGAGACAGGGTTTCTCTGTAGCCCCAGCTGGCCTGAACTTGCTATGTAGACCAGACTGGCCTCCAACTCAGAGATCCACCTGCTTCTGCCTCCCGAGTGCTGGGATTAAAGGCATGGGCCACCATGTCTGGCTAGAGGACCATTCTTTATGAATCACTTAATTGCTTTAATCTTTCTTAAGGCAGCTGTCCTCTTTCAGCTGTTCAGATAACATAACCTTAAGGTCATCTTTGATTCTCCTCATAACCAACATTTATATCAGCTTTAAAATTTATTCAGAACCAGGTATGGAGGTGCATGCCTATAATCCCAGCACCTGAGAGGCTGAGGCAGGACTGAAGTTCATGGTTATCCTAGGCTATGTAGTAAGACTGTGGGTGAAGGATGTGAGGGGAGATGGAGAGAAAAATGAACCCAGAGTCCTACCTTGCTCTAATATCCTACTCCAACTTACTATTAACTTTGACCTCAGTAAGTTTCAATCGTTTAAATTTTATGTGCATGAGTGTTTTGCCTGAATGTATGCATATTCACTCTATGTGTGCAATTCCTATAAAGGTCAGAAGAGGGTGCTGGATCTCCTGGAAATGGAGTTACATAGGGATGTGAGCTACCATGTGGATGATGGGAGCCAAACCTGGGTCCTCTGTAAGAACAGCAAGTGTTCTTAATGACTGAGCCATCTCTCCAGCCCCCTCAATAGTTTTTTAACTGGTTTTCCTGCTTGTAATACCACCAGATCCATTTCAAATGTAGTCTTATCACTCCTCTGGTGGGCATTTCTGCAATGGCTTCTCACCATAGAATGAAATCCAACAGGCCTGCTGTGGCTTGGAATGGTCCTCCTCCATCAACCTTCCTACCTCCATTACTAGTTCCCAGAACTGTCCACCCCCTTGATACTTCTCAGGCCCATCAGGCTGGATATTCAATTGCTCCTTTAAATGTCTTATTCCCTTACCTTTTTGTAGTCTTTACTGAAATGTCAGTATCATTGAGAACTTTGTGGATCATCCAATTAAAATAGCAACACTATCCTTGAAATAGTACTGACTACCCCTCCACTGCTTTATTTTCCTATATATTTCTAAGCTCTATGCACCACTCTATACATGTTACTTATCTATTTCTACCATTAGGATGCAAGTTTATCAGGTAGGAATGTCTCATTCACTGCTGGTAACCTCGGTGCCTAAAAATGTGCCTGACACAAAACAGGCACTGAATAAATATTTTGAATCAATGAACAAATTTAAGAACAAAATTACTATATGATAATTTCCAGTTTTACAAATGAAGGATGTGATTTGTCAAGTCCACATTTAACTAAGCAAAAGGTCTTAAAGTTGTGTGGCTCTAAAACCACCTTTAAAATCTAAGTTTCCAGAGTATGTCATAGACTGCTTCCTCTTTAGTTGTTTGGTGGGGTTTTTTGTTTTGTTTTAGCCCCAGCTAGCCGGAAACTTGCTGTGTAGACCAGGCTGGACTCTATCTCACAGAGATCCACCAACCTATGCCTCCTGAGTGTTGAGATTAGAGGTGTGTGCCAGTGACTGAATAAAGACTTAAACCAATGTGACATTAATAGATATGCATGCTTATTTCTTAATCCTTGAGTTGAAATCTGACTTCTTCAGCTGGATTATAAACTCCTTGAAGACATCGGTCCTGGCTATATGTCAGGGCTTATAGTACGTCAGAGAGGTGGGCCTTGATATTTTCAGTAGTGAGACACTGAGTGGCTTCCAATACCAAAATATTTTAGATTATCAATAATCAACTAAATGGTATCAGTTAAAGTGATCTTCTTAGCCAAATTGAAAGGAGGCATTTTTCTTTGATTCATACTTACCTGATCCTTTGAAAAGTCGATTTTTTTTCAACTCTCTTTTGGCAATCTTAAGAATAATTTCTTTTATGAATTAGCTATTCACAGCCTCTGTCTATTTCTAGGATTTCAAACTTTTTCTGATTTACATGCTATACATATTAACTGATTTATGAATTTAAAAAAAATTATTATTTTTATTTTGTGTGTACGAGTGTATTGCCTGCTTATATGTGAGTGCTGCAGAGGTCAGAAGAGGGCTTCAGATTCCCCTGGAACTGGAGTTAAAGACGGTTCGAAGCCGCCATGTATGTGCAGGTAAACAAACCCATATCCTCTGCAAGAGCAGTCAGTGCTCTTAACCGCTGAGTCATCTCTCCAGCCCTTATATGAGCTTTACATATTAATATTTCCTTGCAAATATTTTTATTGCAAATTATTTTCTCCAATTTTCTAAGAACTTTGTAATAATAAAAATAATTTGGATGGTTGGGCATGGTGGGGTATGCCTTTAGTGTCAGCACTAGGAAGGCAGATGTAGGTGAATCCTTGAGTTCATGGCCAGCTTGGTCTACATAGGGAGTTCCAGGTCAGCCAAGGCTACATAGTAAGACCCAGTCTCAAAAAATAAAAATAAAAATAAAAAATAAAAGCTTAACTTGGCAGCCCATGAGATGGCTGGCTCAGTGGGTACAGGTACTTACCACCAGTCTAGATGCCTGAATTTGATTCCTAGAACCCACATAGACAGTAAGAACTGATGCCTGAAAGTTGTCCTCATGTACACATGCCCAAATACATAAATGGGCCTGGCATGGTGGCACACACCTTTAATCCCAGCACTCCGAAGGCAGAGGCAGGAGGATCTCTGTGAGTTCAAGGTCAGCCTGGTCTACATAGTGAGTTCCAGGACAGCTGGGGCTACAGGGAGACCCTGTCTCGAAAAGACAAAAACAAAACAAAAAACCAAATAACCAACCAAACAAACAAAAACAAGTACATAAATGTACTAAAAAGAAAGAAAAACTCGGGGCTGGCATGTAGTAATGCTTGTAATGCCAGCACTTGGGGGCAGAAGGATCAGAGAAGTTGAAGGCTAGCCCTGACTACACAGCAAGTTCATGAAACACTTTCTCAAAAAGAAAAAGAAGTGGTAACGGAATGAAGTATCATGGAAGATTCAAACAAACATCAGACTAAATACAGGAAATGGGAACAAAGCCGGGCATGATGGCATCTGCCTGTAATTCAGCACTTGAGACATGGTAGAGACAGGAGAATTTGGAGTTCAAAACCATTCTCAGCTACTTAGCGAGTCTGAGGCCAGCTTGGGCTACATAAGACCCTATTTCAAACAAAGTGAAGGACAGAATGTATGGGTTTGATAAATGGTTGGGTGTGTAGCTATGTGGCATTTTGTCAGATGTCAGATGGTGATTCAGAAATAAACAGTTCCAAGATGGGCATGGCAACACCTTTTTTTTCGGGGGGGCGGTTCTTTTTGAGACAGGGTCTCCCTGTAGCCCCAGCTATCCTGGAACTCACTAAACAGAGATCCGCCTGCCTCTGCCTCCCTAGTACTGGGATTAAAGACATGCGCCACCACACCTGGCAAGACTCACTTTTAATACCAGCACTCAGGAGGCACAGGCAGAGGCAGGCAGATCTCTGAATTTGAGGCCAGCCTGGTCTACATAGCAAGTTCCAGGCCAGCTGGGGCTACAGGGAGATCCTGTCTCAAAAAGACCCCCTCCCCCCAAAATAATTCTTACTCTCACTAAGCTTATCAAGCACAAAGGTCCAAGGAAATGTCATCAAGAGTTAAGAAAGACAACCTCCTTGGTAGAAAGGCCCAGGGGGATGGCTCAGCAGTTGCTTGGTTGCTCTTTTTTGTTGTTTTTTTGATAGGGCCGCCTTAGTCACAAGCCCACCTGAAAGTCATGATGTGTACCAGGGTAGTTCGATCAGAGAGAGATCCATCTACCTGCCTCTGCCTCCCTGAGGGCTAGGATTAAAGACGCAAGCCACCACCCCAGGTGTGCTTGGTTGCTCTTATAGAAGACCAGCAGAGTCCAGTTCCCAGTGATCCCTAACTGCCTGTAACTGCAGCTCTGGGGTATCTGAATCCCTCTTTTGGCCTCTGTAGGCATCTGCATACATGCATGTACCCATACAAACACATATAATTAAAAATAAAAAGACCTCTGCAGAACAGGGTGATAGTTCCAAGGGTAAGAGTGCTTGCTATGCAAGCTTGTGGACCTCAGATGGATACCACTATCCACACAAAAAGCTGGATATGGCCACACATGTGCTTGTAAGCACTGTGGAGAGGCAGAGAAGGCAGTGGGATCACCTGGTGTTTTCTGGCCCACAGCCTAGCTCTAAGCTCAATGAAAGAGACTGTGTCAAGTAAGTAGGGTAGAAAGCAATGGGGCAGGACACTTGACTTTCTCTGGTCTCTTC